TGAAAAGAGCTCTAATTAATTTGACCTAAAGAAAGACAAGCACTTGGATCAAATACATTTTTTAAGGGAAGTTAAAAGCCCTGGTACCTTTCAGTTCACGTGACTTTAATCTTTAAGGAGTAAAAACAGCCTGAAAGACTATTGGTAAAATCCAGGTCAGATGCAAGGTTTGCTAAGTGTTTTAAGGTTACAAACTCCTTTTTGGGTTTTGAGAACTATTTGTTGACATGAGACTTCACAATTGGTAAGGTCTGGGCACATATGGAACTAACCACACCCTTAATTAAGAAGGCAAACCTTGGCTACACTTAGCACACAATTAAAGCAACTCACCAAGCTTTACCTTAAAGTTAAAATTCATAGGAGTTAATTGAAACTATTAGAAATAGATTTACATGCAAGGTGTGTAAGAACAGTAAAATGTGTTTTTTAGTAAAAGGTTATAAGAAGGCATGGAAATGTAAAACTTTGCCTAGGGTTACGGATTGTATTGAGTTAAATTAGGAAAAAGCTGAAGGTTCAAAGAAGTGGTACAATAATTGTGGAAAGTAATCTTGCAGAAAAGGTTCTCTATGTGAACATATTGACTAAATTCCAAAAAGGGTATTATACGGTTTTCCTGTAAATTGAGCACTGAAATAAAAGCATAACAAGGTTTTCCTAAGGCATTAATCTGTTTTTTGGTAAAATTTGTAAAGGGATATAAAAGGTTTGTGCTTCTTTAAAAATTTCTGAGTCATCATTTTGGCAAAATAAATAGTTTATGGTAATATGGAATTCTATTTAATAATGTCAAGTGCTTCACACATATTTAAAAGGCTTCCCAAAATCAAACTTCAGTATCAAAATTATCTTCACTGGCACCTGGCTTTTTGAATACTTCAGAGGGCCCCTGAAGTGTCCAGAAAAGAGAAGTAAACAGGATTGTTTGACAGGTTTAGGTATGTCACATTGCCAAAATGATGCTCAAGTTTCTTTAGGTTATATCTTGGCGAATAATGCTAATATATGTTCCAAAATTGTATAAAATTTCTAAAATTCTAATGTCTAAGTTTATGCTATCAATCATAATTAAGGTTGTTACATTAAGTTATTGAAAACCATGGAGAAAACCAAACTTGTCAATCATATTTCTAACTGTAACTACCCTGGACATTTTGCTATCCACAGACAATTGTCCTGTTTTAATCCTTTTCAAAGATGGTTTATAATGAGCTATAGAACTTTAACAGATGCTCTCAAACACAGGTTTCTGATAACTTTGGAGACTGTGACACTGGAATAAAAAAATGTACAGAACTCATGAACAGCTGAAATGTTCATAAATATCAAGTGAAGCAAGAACTAAATGGACTGAACTTAGAAAGCTGAAGCAACCTTTTTGACTTTTGCTTGGAATATTGCTGATCTTTATTTTGTTTCTCAGAGTCAAGGAAACTTATTTTGAGCTATTTGTGGCCTTTAATAACTAAGGAATAAGCAAGGTATACTCCTATGATCAAAATTTGGAGCATGTTTTTTTTATCTCTGCCTGGTTCCTCCAGAATTTAGAACCTATCTGTGAGTATTCTTATGGCAATATAGTTGTTTGCATCAGTGCAATAAAAATCCATTTTTCTTTTACAACAGGACACAATTGGAGAAAGAGGTTATTTCACCAAGGCTTTGACTGGAAGGGTATGCTTCCCTTTAAGGAGTAAATCTCTACTTACAGAGCCAATAAAAGCCTGGAGGGGAAACTGGCCTCATACCTTCATCTATGCAGTCCCCATACAGGGTTCCTGACCTGTGGTCAGTAAAGAATATCACTTTCTGGCCGGGTGTGGTGGCTCACACTTGTAATCCCAGCACTTTGGGAGGCTGAGGTGGGTGGACCATAAGGTCAGTAGTTTGAGACCAGCCTGGCCAATACAGTGAAACCCTGTCTCTATTAAAAATACAAAAATTAGCTGGCTGTGGTGGCATGTGCCTGTAATCTCAGCTACTTGGGAGGCTGAGGCAGGAGAATTGCTTGAACTCAGGAGGCAGAGCTTGCAGTGAGCCAAGATTGCACTACTGCATCCCAGGCTAGGCGACAGAGCTAGACTCCACCTCAAAAAAAAAAAAAAAAAAGTCACTATTGCCACTTTCTAACAGATTCAGGAGCTCCAAGTTTATCTTGGGACCATAAGAGAAGACGGCCACCCACCTCACAGGTATTTGAGGATACAAACCCATGGTTGGGCTTGGTTTTAAAAGGTCTCATGTGAGATTCCTTATGGAACAGACTTCCATCAAAACCAATCCAAAAGGCCTATACAGAAATAATTATTATTACTGCACTTTATGCAAATAATCAGGCCAAGTATAAGACTAAAATCTATTTTGCAAACCATTCAGTCCTGTGATGACTTTTTAACAAAAATGAGGACGGGAGAGAGATAAATCATGTTTCAAAACTTATACATTTGTCGTTAAATTCAAAAGTCATTAGTTGTTTTTAAGTTTTCACGTACATTTTAGACTAACCCTGCTTACTCCTGTGAACCAACCAGCAATTTCTGGCTCCAGGTCACAAAGAACAAAAGGGATGAGTAATATAAAAATCTGAATGGATATTCTAGTTCTAAGCAATTATCCTGCAAATCCTGCGAGGTGATGGGAATAAATAGGATGCCCATCACTCGGAGGTTTCCTTTTTGGGAAAGTAAGACCAAGGCAGCTAACCAAACGCAAGCACCATGCACCCAAATCCTAGCAAGCATAACTGTAGTTACTTGTTATCTGGGTGTGTCACAAGACATTTTTTCCTCTTCCTTGTTGGAGGAGGACTCAGTTCCACAGTGTCACCTTAGCATTCGGCTTATGATAAGGAGTCCATGCAACTCCCTGAGGCACATTTTTGTACCAAACTCAATTCCAAGCTTTGGGTCAAAGCCCTAGGAAGGAAAACTGGATCTAGGGAATTCAGGGGCAAATGACAACAGAGGTTAAAAGGCACAGCAAAGCTAAGAGTGGCTGATTCCTGCCAATTAAGTCAACCCCAAGCTTCCTGTTTCATGGATAAAGGTCAAGTTAGTATCCATAACATAAATAATATCTAGGAAACTCCAAGGCTACTGGCAGCAGGGGAGATAAGGCATACATGGGTAAGAGCAGATAATTCCTATTCTCTAGGCCCTCCCTGCTTCATGGGTGCAAGGTGCTTTGGCACTCATGGCAGGACCTGCCAAAATCACTCAGATGCAAGTATGGAAGAGGGAAAGTGGACACGCTTCCGTCTCCCTCATGTACCCTGGTTATTTGCTAGGAAGAGACAGAAACCAGGGATGCCTGCTCCCCTCTTTCTAGATGGGTGACCATTCATCTTCATTCTGTATCCCTTTCAAATGCATCCTGACCCTCTGGGACTCCTTGAAAAGGTGTTACTTTTTTCTTTCTCCTCCTCTGCCCTCTCTTCACAGGTAATTGTATCTCCGTACTATGGAACACTCCCCTCAGATGCATCCTACAAACTTGAAAGAGTTTATTTCCCAAGCCTTAAACTAGTTGGCTTAGGATTGGGCTCAGGGGAAGGGAACCCAGAAGCCTGACATGCCAGCAAAAGAGTAGAGTTTTTTTTAACCAGCTGGGGTTTGGCCTCCCTCTCCCTGTGCAAACTGGTAAAAGGCCTCAGAATTTTTGAGCTGTCCTTATCCCTCCCCTTGTTTCATTTTGATACATGTTTTCTAATAACTCCATTTGTCTGCTCTTGCTTTCAGGCCATCAAACTGTAAATAGTCATGCAAGTGGAGCATCTGACAATGGGCCCTTCTGTTGGGAACCTTTAAATAGGCCTCTGAGGGAGCTCTGATTGCCATTTCCCCAAAACAGCGACCCCTGTCAGCAGGAAGCATTTAAGATCGGTCTTTGTCCTTATCCTTAATCTAACAACAAATAGTTAGATAGATGTACTTCTTTAGAGAGGGGAATGAGACAGCCAGGTAGCAGGGGGTCCCTGGAGAAACTCCAACCAGCCTGCCCACTAAGGTGGAGACTTGGGAAGTTCACACCATTTGTAGTGGGGAGGAGCCTGGCCCCTCCTTTTCTGTGTGGAAACAGGGATTCAAACTGCCAGGCAGGAAGGGCTCCAGTGGAGGGACTCTGACCTTGCGAGAGTCCCTGTTTCCCTCTTTTTTTCCCTTTTCACCCAATAAAACCCTGTTTTACTCACCCTTCAAACCGTTTGTGAGCCTAAATTTTCATGGCCATGGGATGGACAAGAACCCCGTCTTTAGGTGAACTAAGGAAAAGTCCTATGACATTAATGCTTATAACATTGATACTGAATTTATTAAGTGGCTTGGTAGCACCTACAATAATTGACCCTGCAAGACAAATCAGAAGGCAAACACTGGAACAATACTAACACTAATACATGTGGCAAAGCATCGGAACTAAAGATGGCATTATTTCCAAGTGTTTGTTCCAGAGAACTCTGATCCCAACAGATATTCCTCCAAGGGAGAAGAATTCTGCAGCCAGAATTCCCTGGGATCTTACATATGGTGTCTCCTGCTCCCTTTGAAATGCACATTGTTATAGAAAAAAAAATCCTGTAATTAAAAACATTTTAACTTGATGTAACTTGGCATTTTCTGAATTTAGTTGATTATTGAGAACTTTCTTCATTTGGCTCCTAATTAACATCTCTCCTGGGTAAGGCTATATGTTTGAAAAGCCATTGTTTAATGAAGAAACATAATGGAACAGTGGCAAATGGGTTCAAAAGGAGGTGAAATGGATATTCTGCATATTAGATATTGTCTAAATTATCCTGGCAAGCATCACTTTTCTTAGCAGGGCCTCTGGTAAGTGCCAGGATGCAGAAAGTTTGAGACTATATTCCGCAAGGGCTTATGATTTACAAATGCCTGAGAGAAGTGGTCAATGTATACTACTATACAAATCTAGCTATTTGCACTGAGATAGTTATAAAATGCAGAATTACATGTAATTATATCTATTTTTATCTGCTGTACCTTTTCTTTTGAGTGCCGTTTCACCTTTCTTCCCTTTTCCTTCCTGAAGAGATTCTTGCTTACCATGCGGGGCTTCTAAACAAAATTCAACACACAAAAATCATTGATGATTTACTTCAATAACCTGGGCTATATGATTGTAAGCAAGCTAATGCTATTTCCCATAGGTAAACAGTTACATTTGTGAACTGCATAAAATGGCTCCGGTCTTAACTTTGAGTTAAAATTATTCTGAAGACAGACTATAGGTTGAAACTTCTGGAATGATAGCTCTAATAGCAGCATTATTCTGTCACATTGAGATGTTTAGTCCTAACTTTAATATGAACATTTGGTAGTGGATTTGATCATAAACTCTTTAATGGAACTAGCTGTGGTGTTTTTAAAAGATAATCACAAATCCACTTGAAGCACCTGGCTGTATTTGGATTTATTTCAATTGAATGTGCCTACACAATAAGACAACTGTATCTGTCATAAAAATGATGCCAAAGCCGGGTACAGTGGCAGCACCTGTAGTCCCAGCTATTGATGAGGTTGAGGCTAGAGGATGGCTTGAGCCCAGGAGTTTGAGTATGGCCTGGGCAACATAGTGAGACCCTGTCTCTAAAAATTAAATAAATAAATAAATGAAATCATAAAATAAAATAAAAATGATGGCCAAACACTTTGAAGAAGAGGTAAATAACCATATGGCTTTGATATGTTGCGCCCTTGAACTTCTCTTGGTCACACACTTTGTTGCCTTGTGACTTCTACATTTTTTCATTGACTGTAATTGTGATGCGAAGAATGATGTGAGTATATTTATCTTAAATTCCCTAGGATATAGTTCAGAAATATATTGGAAGGGAGAAATTGGAAAACTGATGATCTGGAGATGTCCCAATTAATGAGTTTGTTCCTTGAAAAATAATTCACTACATTCTGCATTATTTACCAAACAAATTTAATTATTTTCCTCCCTTGGTCCTGGGCTATATATTTTTCTTCATTTTAAAGGATGAACCAGTATGGCAATTCAAATGCCTGTGATGGACACAGACTCCCTCTATCCTTTTTTTTTTTTTTTTTTTTTTTTGTATTTAGAAGTGATAGTTATAAGAATATATAAATTCCTAGCAGATCTCACTTACATTTAAATATCATGGACATGACAACTAAGATTCCATAGAAATAAGACAAGTGACTTTGTTAATCTCTCTAAATGAATGTTTAAAAATCCAAATAGTTGACCACTAAATTTGGAAGAAAGAGAGGGGACGACATGGAGGGAGGGAGGGAAGGAAGGAAGGAAGGGAGGGAGGGAGGGAGGGAGGGAGGGAGGAAGGGAAGGAGGGAGGGAGGGAAAAAAGGAAAAACCTAAATAGAAGTATAGGTAGTATTATTCTATTGTGCCATACTAAGAACTAATTCTCAATTAAATAGTGACAATTGATACTGCATTTGACAATAGATCCTTCAATGGAACATTAACTATGGAGTTTTTCAAATTTAATCCCAAGTATAATGGAAGCAAATATAAAATATGGAACTGAATAAAATATAGAACAACTTTTTTAATAAAATAACAGTTAGGATTCAATGTACTACACCTTCTCTAGCCCTTTTTAAAAATTTTGTTTTGATTTTAGTGAATAATTCCTCTTTTCATCTCAACTTCTGCTGAAGATTGTAATTAGATGTTTGAGTAGGGCATGTTCAGAAGCCTCAGGTTTTCAGTTCTAAAAATGTTCCATTTTGGAAAATTTGTAAATTATTTACACAAAAAATTTAAAAAACCTGTGATAAATGTTCCTCTCTTAAATTGCCTAACCAAGCTTCCCTGAGCTGCAGGGGCAGTGCTGTCTGCTTTCCTGCCCCATCAATGTCCATCACAGTGAGGTTGGCTGGCAGCAATTAGGACTCTGGAGATGAACCTTTCTAAACATGCTTAAATAGCAGGCACTAGCCCTGACCTTGGTGGGAAAAAAAGACAAGTACAACCACTCTTTAAAGCAACAATAGATTTATTATTTCTTCAATGCACAGTATTCAAGAATACAATTATAAAATAACAAACGAACTTCAGAAACTTAAAGACTGAACTGGTCCTGATCAGAAGCACTACAGACTGGTTTCAGGAAATGGCTCAAATACATAGATACTCTTGACTAGAGCAAACTGAGGAGGAGCAAGAGTTGTAGAGCCATAGCTATAGGTTAAAGGACCATATTAGATAATTCCAGGCTCACCTGACCCACTGTGAAAACTGTCTCCCCAGTTCTTTTTCTTTTCTTTCTTTCTTTCTTTTTTTTTTTTTTTCCTGGAGGCAGAGTTTCACTCTATCCCCCAGGCTGGAGTGCAGTGGCGCCATCTCGGCTCACTGCAACCTCCGCTTCCCAGGTTCAAGCAATTCTCCTGCCTCAGCCTCCCAAGCAGCTGGGATTACAGGCGCCTGCCATCACGCCCAGCTAATGTTTGTATTTTTGGTAGAGATGGGGTTTTGCCATGTTGGCCAGGCAGGTTTTCAACTCCTGATCTCTGGTGATCCAAAGTGCTGGGATTACAGGGATGAGCCACCACGCTCGGCCTGTCTTCCCCAGTTCTAAACAGCATTTTAAATATTTCCATTTTCCTCCAGACCTCTGAATTGTTTTTTTAATTTCCTAATGAGATAGTGGGAAAAGGGTGTATATTTAATTCATGTCTTTGTGTTTTATTGTTGACATGATAAAAGCATTTTTTAGGGTTTGTGTATTTTGCCTGTAGTTAAGTTCTAATTTCCTGGAGTGAAATGGTCTTTAATATACCATAATATCTTACTAAAGTCTTCAAATTTTTTTTGTTTAATATGAATAAGTTTAATTTTAAAAATTCAGACCTATCTCAAATCTCCATAAGACTATGGAGTTTAGAAATGTGGTCATGACACAGTATCAAAGATACTTAGGTAGACATGGTGTAACTGCACAGTCAGCCATTTATAAAGCTGAAACTAGAAACCAAAGCCTCATTTGTTTTACACACACACACAAATAGATACTGACACTCTACCAATATCATGCATTAAACAATTAAGCACTTCACTTTTGTCATTATATTTATTGTCTACCACTGAATGCTAGACTTATGGTCCTTAGGAGTTAAGGATCTAGAAAAAACTTAAACTAAAAATGTTCTCTATCTAGGCTCTTTATCTCTATGTCCATAAATATATGTTTACTGAGATGGCAGGAGTGTGTTTCTGTACTTTTATAATCACACAGTCCTGAAGATTTACAATTACATATAAATTCTAGTTCTATTGGTTGTTGTTAATTTGTTCCCTTATTCTGGCGGAAAACCAGTTATAGTCATTCTTATTTTATTAAGATGCTCTTACTCATTACATAAATCTAACTCCGTAGTTCAGCAAACAGATGTGTATCCTCTTGATCTGCCTGAAGTTACCTGTTGCTCTGTGCCTTTTCCTCTTCTCCTCTGTGATCTTACTCTAATCAGTAGACCTAGGTGTGATGACTCCATGTCTCCTACACAGCGAAGAAGCTGGGCTTTGTAACAACTATGCGTTTAGCTACTCCAAGAGCTTTTCCACCTCCATCTGAGTGTAAAACCTTGTTTCATATGATTGAAGTTGCCCAAAGTCTGAATGTAGATAGACTACAATTTATAATTCTTTACTGAGTAAAATTAAGAAACTGAAAAACAGGATTATAAATCATTCTGTCAATCACCTGATTGAGGTTTTCCTTTTGCAGTAGGAGTTTTTGAAGGCACATGATGAAGATGAATTTCCTTCTCTTTTTCTGGTTCAGGAGGAGGAGCAGGAGGAGGTGTAGGAAGTGGAAGCTCAGCCAGGGAAGCTACTGCTTTTTTCTCAGCTTCCTTTTCTTCTAATTTCTTCTCAACTTCAAAAGGATGATAAGAATTGACCCTCATTAGAGACTCTAGACATCTACTATTTCACTTGAACTAAGATAAATCTAAATTAATACAAAACACTCTTATGTATTTAAAGTTAATTCATGCTTTTGGGCTTTCCCTTAAATCTTCTAGTCCTTAAAGCTAAGATTTCAAGTCTTCTCTCCCTTGTCAGAAATATGGTTGCCCTTGCCTCTTGATGGCAGTGGTGGTAATGTTGATGGGTGGTGGTGGTAATGATGGTGTAGTTGTGATGGCGGTTGTGGTATTAATAACAGTGGTGTTGATTGTGGTGGAGGTAGAAGTGGTGATGGCTGTGGGGAGGATGGTGATAGTGACGGTGGTGGTGGTAGTGATGGTGGTGGTGGTGATGGGGGTGGTGGTGGTGATGATGGTGATGATGGTGGTGATGGTGGCAGAGGTAGAGGTAGTGATGGTGGTAATGGTGCTGGTGATAGTGGTGGTGGAGGAAGAGCTGGTGATGGTGGTGGAGGTGGTGATGACTGTGGTGGGGATGGTGGTAGTGATGGTGGTAGTGGAAATAGAGGTGATGATGGTGGTGATGGTGGTGGAGGTATAGCTGGTAGTGGTGGTGATGGTGGTGGAGGTGGTGATGGCTGTGGTAGGGATGGTGGTGGTGGTAGTGGTAGTGGAGACAGGTGATGATGGTGGTGATGGTGATGGAGGTAGAGGTGGTGATGGGTCTGGTGGTAGTGGTGGTGGAGGTGCTGGTAGAAGTGATCGTGGTGGAGGTAGAGGTGGTGATGGCTGTGATGGGGATGGTGGTAGTGATGGTGGTGGTGATAGTGATGGTGATGGTGGTGGTGTGGTAGTGCTGATGGTAGGAGTGGTGATGGTGGTGGTTGGCACGGGGGTGATGAGTAATATATGTGTATTTGTGTGTACGGAGCTGATATAAAGGGTTAGCAAGTGGGTGCCAAATGTAAAAGTGATAATCTGGAAGTAGCTAATAAAGATGAAGAGAAAAATAAAAGATTGTTTGAAAATGTCCAGTGGGAAAGCAAAATGAACAAGTATAAAAAGACTGTAAAGGGCAATGTAATACAAGAGGTGGGGTGAGGAGGAAATGGAAGGGGAAAGAAATGTGTATCACTAACTTTAATAAGTGAATACAAAGCACTTAGAATACTGCACAGTACATACATCCTCAATTAAGCCTTAGCAATTCATTCATTCCTGCAACAACCATTTATTGAACTTGAATTGTGCCTTGAAGAAAAGGAAGGATTACAACAATAAAGTAAAACTACTATTTCTAATGATAATAATTATAATAATATTGCAAACAATAGTTCTGATTGCTGGAGATACAACAGTAAAACAAAACAGAAAAATCAATGGCCTTATGAAGCTTACATTCTAGTGGTAGGAAACAAACCATAAATATAATGAATAAGTTAATTTACACAAGAGTTAAGATGGTGATAAGTGCTATGGAAAAAAAAAATAGAACAGAGTAAGGGAGACCAAAGTGTTGTGGGCAGCTTCTTACGTTTTAGACAGAGTGCCAGGGTGAGTATGCCCAACCATAAGGTGACGTCTGAGCAAAGACATGAAGCAAGCCAGGGAGTGAGCCTCGTGGATTTCTGCTGAAAGCGTGTCCCAGTCAGAGGAGATGGTTAGCCCAGATGCCTGGAGGGATGGAGCATGGCCAACTGGAGTCTTTCTAGGCTCCCATCATTGTGATGACCCTTTGCCTTTCGTGATGCTGTTTCACCTTTCCTGGCACACCTTCCCTGACTGCCCAGTCTTTCCATCCCTTCACACTGTGGAGGCCCACAGCTCTACTGAATGTACCACTGGCGATGAATGCCTATGTTCTTGCATGGCTATTTCTCTTTACATATGCTCACTCCACCCTTGGATTACTCTTTTCAATTCAGCAAGCCAGGAGGTTTCATTCTATTAGACATTCTTTCGAAGTGGAAATTAGGGGTTTTAGTTCTGATTTTTAAAGTAATTCATCATTATTGTTTTAAACATCCAAGAATTAAGACAAGTAGAAAGGGGAATTGCCTGTTAAGTCTCTTTAAGACCCATCTCCTTCCCCACCATCAAGTATTATATATGCTGCCCGACTCTTCTGTGCGTATGTATTTTAATACATAAATACATACACTTTCCTTAAAAGAGACTATTTTATATGCAACCTGCTTTTTCCTACTTAACAGTATATTGTGGTCAGAATATAGAAGTACCACATTCTTTTAGTTTTTTAACTTAATTGGGATGTTTAATACAGAGCACCGGGCTAGGTTAATGTTTATTGTTTTAATGATTAAACATCTGTTAATTACCTGTTTGAAATATAAATCTTAAATAAGTGATAACTGAGTCTATTAATGTAGTCAGTGATTATTAGAATGCAAACTCTTTAGGAAAATGTTGAAGTTGAGTCTAATAGTTGGCAAAAACAAACTGATTCTAACCCGTAACTTCAAGCCTTTATGGGTTAGAATTGGTTTGTTTCTGCTTCCCAACCAAGACTCTGTAAGATTGCTATTCTGTCAAATGATATGTTAAGCCTCTTAAAATACTATATGATTGTTTTTCTCTTTGAAAGGTTCATGCTGGTAGTTTTTGGAGTAGGCATTTAGATGTAGGAGCTTGTCTTTCTAAGTGTGAGCTCCTGGATATCCATGGTGATTGTGGTTTATGTCTATGGGCTATTTTAATGTTAATTAACTGGTACATTATGGTAGTTAGGTCACAAATTTAGTGACAGGAGACAGTATGCTATCAAGGCAACTTTAGAATCCTTTTCACACCATTAACTTTGACCATTTTTTACTATACCAAGAAACTGTAGTTGCCAATATAATTTGGGATAATTGATAAACACAAAGGAAACATTTATTTTTCAAATCATGTCTCCAAGGTAAAATTCCAGAGGAAATATGACATTGGACTGAAGTTAAAATCTCTTTCAATAAAAAGCTTCAATAATAATATAAAAAGTTAATGGGCAATTATCATTGGTTGAATGAAGGAGGAAGGAGATCTGTGTAGTTTTATTTGTGTAAGATAAAACATGAAAGCAAGTTAATATATAATAATCAATTTAATAATAAACTTAAAACAAAATAGGTGGATTTGAGAAAAAATGGCCTAGTGTGTCCATCCTAAAAGAAGAATTCACATGGTTTCTTTATAATGCTAAAGCTAACAAAGTAAAACCTTTACCTTTATCTACAATATCCATAATTTTCATTAATTTTACTTAAAAATATCTAATTAAATAAAGATTGCATATATCCCGAGAATAAAATGTGAATTAATATCCTTAAATTTAACTCTGCTGGGTTTTTGTTGTTGTTGTTGTTGTTGTTGTTGTTTTGACATGAAAACAATGTTTTCAGAGCGATGGTCTCTTTTTGATTAAAATAAGAGAGAAAAATCTTTTATTCAGAAACACATACAACAGAAAGCTAAAGACAGAGGCAGAACACACTTGTAGATAGTATAAATCCAAAGATAAGAAAGAACTTTTCAATCACATCTTCCTTTCGCCCCAAACTCATTAAAACCACACATTTTAGTTGCCTAAACTCAAAACTATAAACAAATGTAAATACCTTTATTCTTTTTTTTCACTATTTCAGTCGTAAGAATTTCTTTTACTTTTTCGCATAAAGATTCCTTATCTATTTCAGCATTGATTTTTATCAAAATATTTTCTGGCTCTGAAAACCATTGCTTCAATAAAGGCCAGTTGTCCAAGAAGCCTATAATTCTGCAAAATCAAAATATGATATGAATATCTCATACTGATCAAAAGATTAGAATGATATTAAGCATAAATTATCCGACATGCATAATGAAAAGATAAGCTGCCAATATAATTGCATCTGAAAAAGAAACAATGTTATTTATTTTAGATCAAAGAAGATATTACTTAATGTCATCAAGACATATTTTTTGAGATGTATGAGAGTAAAAGAGGAAAATGTCATTGATTCAGGAAAACTTTTAGTGTAAGTTCAGATCTCCAAGTGAAAATCTAAGAAAACATCATCTGTGCTCGTAGTAGAATAACTCTGAACTCTCTTTGGATGGTAGCTACAGCCTGATTCACCTAGGCCATCTATTTTTTTCTCAGAGATAGAAATTGAAGAGATCTTTGAGTAAGTATAGTTGGTTTAGACTTACATACTTTACTCAAAAGTGTTCTTGGAATAATTCTTGAAACTTTTTTTTTCTTCCTGGAGAGCAGACAGCCTTAATGTAGCTCAAATTACTCTTCCCTGGTTCATTTCATATTGTTAAACTTTTCAGGGTTTCATAAAATTATCTAATTTTGTCTAAATTTCCCTTTCCAATGGCAAATTGCACACAACCAAAAGAATAATTTTATTTTAGCAAAATAGAAGTAGTTTATAGTCCGATGCCTACCTTTTTGAAGTTCCATCATTGTCACCGGCATTTCCTTAAAGAGTGCTGAATCAGGATTCCATATAATTAACTTGTAAGTTCATGTAACCATAAAGGGAAGTATTGCCTGATTTAATTCTTCTTTTTTCAGACTATAATGACTTGCACTCTAAATATGAAAGCTAGCACATAAATATTTCACTAATTATCAATAAAGAAAACTACTTAGTTTTCTTTAACCTGTTAAAGACTGAATGCTAAGAAATAGATATTCTTCTAGGTCTGATGATTCCAAAGTGGTTGTCAATCTATTCTAAAAGCATGAAACAAGAAGCAGAGCATTTAGTTAAAAACTAACCTATGTTGTATCTGGTCTCTTAAATTTTGGTCTCCACCCTTATCTTGATTTTCAGCAGCTACACGTTGACTGATGTCTTCGTGAGCAGTTTTATAGGACAATTCTTCAGCTACGGTAGAAAATTTATTTAATTAGATAATTTTCAAAACCAAAGTTGCTACTTACTGCTAAAATATACTGATGAAAGATGCCAAACAAGATAGGGTTCTGTATTTGGTAGAGTGTTACTTAAAAATATTTTAAAAGATGTTGGATCCAGTGTTACTTAAAAATATTTTAAAAGATGTTGAAAGAGTATAGTTTTGAGATAAGAATTCGATTATTTTCTTGGAAATTGGGTAAAATAAGTAAAACATTAAAGCGAAGCTGTAGTTTCAGTGTAAGGATCTCAGGATTGTCTATGATAGACGAGAATGAAAAATGATGGGTCATCATGAATAACTAACTTGAAAAGAATTGGGAAAATTAACACGGTGATGTAAAAATTAAGACGAAAGAACAAGGTGGCTGGAACGTCAAATATGCATAAAAATTATTTCTTGATAGTATATTGCAATATAATAAAATTATTCTGTTTCTTTCTAGACTTTATGATCTCCCTGTAGAATAGACATAAAGGAATAGACCCAAAGAGACCAAAAACAAACAAACAAAAAAACCAATCTCAACAGCTCTGATTGAGTCCTGTTCTGGATTAATGATACAGAGTCCAGAATATTCACCAATTTAGAATAAATAAAAAATCATAAAGAGGAAAGAAAGCCTTGAACTAGATTAAAAGAAATTAGAATTACTCAATGTAAGAGAACATTGAATCGTGAATTAATAGAGTTCAAGCAAATGAAGAACCCTCACAGGATATAGTAATCGGTTGTTCCTCATCTCCATTCATAACAGAACAAGGTGAAATGAATTTAGAATGCAGAACGATGCTTTAAAAGGATTAATAAAACCCAAGGATCACATTGGAACAGGTGACTGAAGAAAACTGTGGAAGTGCCCTTCTTGGGAGATGCCCATGCACCATCTCATGGTCACTACCTCGTGGCTGTCAGGACTTCAATGCACGGATTAGCATTCCTCTCTGTCCAACCTCCCAACCCCCCAGCCCCAGGCAGTGCTCCTTCCCCTTCCCTTCACTTGTGGTTCTCTGTACCATGGCCACTGAATTTTGTGATCACCCCGAATGGCTCCATCTTTGCAATCTTAAAGACCTATTACTCTTACCACAAACTTTCCAGCTCTGGTATTGTTGATGAATCTCTTCACTAGCATCCAGTCCCTACATTCCTACCTCCTTTTTTTTCTAAATTTATCAGCATTATCCTGACTTCACTTTATGCTTTCTAGCAAACCTAAATTGCATGAATGAACACTTCAAGCTCTCCCTGCCTCTTAACAGCTCCAATTTCTGTGTCCTTCTGCTGTACCAGCCTTAAATGATATCTTTTTTATTTTTTAAGGCTTATGCTGATAGGCATCTTTGAATAAAAATACACAACCTTTATTCTCACTAATTCCCTAGCTAAAAAAATCAGTTGAGCTCTTTCATATATATATATGGACCCTTTTCTAAAATAAATAAAGAGAGAAATAAAAAAACTAAAAAAGTAACAAATATCCTGTGGCCATGGCTCTTTTTTCTTCTTTCAGAGATAAACTTTTTGGGAGTTATCTCCACTCACTCTCCATCTCTGTACCTCCCACTCACACCTCAACACACCGCAATCGTTCCTTCTCTCTCCTACACTCCATGAAATGGCTCGCATACCAGTCACCAAAAATGCCAAAGGACACATTTCAGTCCTTATTTTGGCTTGTTTTATAATACTTATAGGTAAAATTTAGTGTATAATTCTTAAAAGCTGTTACATATATTATGTCATTTAATACTCAACAAAAACTTGTAAGTGGGATTGAGATTCTATAATTGGCTCCAAATTGCACCCTTCATAAATAGTAGAGAAGGGGTTTGATTCCAGGCAATACGACTCCAGGTTCTGGACTTCTTTTTAATTTTTATAGTCTTTGTTGCATTATACTTGCCAAAAAATGCATACACCAATATTCATCTCCATGAATTAATGAACCGAAGACAGTCAGCACCCAGATATACAAACATTATCGGTCCCAGAAGCCCTTTCCTGTTCTTTTTCAGTCACCATTAGCCACAAAGGGTCAGTATTTGATGCCCTGAACTCAAAATCTGTTTCTACTCTCACCAGAGGGTGAACATTACTGTTCTGTCTCAGGTTGACCAATGGCTAAACAGCGGAGGCAGCCACCTCTTCTTCCATTCCGATGTAGACTTTTACTCTCACAATGGCCATTCCCCGTCCTTATGTCCCCCAGTCTCCTGCCCATTGGCTTTTAGTCTGGATCATTTACCTCAGACCAGCCCTGGCAGGACTTTGTAGCCCACATCGCTTTGGATGTAGCATGTTTCTCTGTGGTAATGTTCTTCAGGTTTCTCCATAGACCCCGAACCCCATGCTGCACCTGACCCTAGTGGCTAGGCTCCCACTCAGCCTAGGCTCCTGCTGGTCTGGAAGGGGGGTTACATGACACATTTGCCTTGAAGATTTGTCCTCCTTTGGCTTATGAGATACTACTGTCCCAGGCTTTCTTCTTCACCATTAGCTGCTGCTTCTAAACACTTATTCCTTTGCTCTCCCCAGTAAATTCTGGTTATTATGTATAGAGCAATATGATTTTTTTGGAGACAGGGTCTCACTCTGTTACCCAGGTTGAAGTGCAGTGGTGTGATCATACTTCATTGCAGCGTTGAACTCCTGGGCTCAAGTGATCCTCCCACCTCAGCCTCCCATGTAGCTAGGATCAGAGACATGTGTCACCATGTTGGGCTAATATTTTTATTTTTTGTAGAGACAGGGCCTTGCCATGTTGCCTAGGCTGATCTCAAATTCTTGGGCTCAAGTATTTCAAATCATCTTTTTTACAGTGTGGAAATTGTCTCAGCTGGACAAAATTTACTTTCATTTCTAAGAACAAGAATCATTTGCATTACTATCAATTTCCTACTATTTATAGCGTTATAGAAGAGTTGAGTCAAAACCAATGAAAAACACAGGCCATTATAGAATCAGGCATCCTCAAGGGCCCAAGAGGCAATAGTCAGCCTTGTAGTAAAATGATGTGCACGTAATCATTTGTCGATTTCAAAGTCTTCCATCATTTTTCCCTGATGTATTTACCACATGCTTATTATCATGTGCCAGATTCTGTTCTAAATATGTAACTCTGATCTCATTTAATACCCACAACAAAAAAACGAGCCATTTTATCATATAGGTTGTGACACCAAGGCTTAGAATAATAAAGTAACTTTCTCAAGGTCAGATACGTCATATGTAAGAAAGCCAAGGTTCAAGAAGTGCTTTTACCCATAAGTATATAATTTGTGGAATAAAGGATTTTTTTCAAGGTTGAAAAATAGTTAAACTATGAATTTTTGCAAGAAGATTTAACCCCATCATGTGAAGTCTTCAGCTGACTGATACCTGCTCTTCAGAGTTAATACTCAGTCCAAGACAAGGATGTTATCAGATCCTTTCTTACAGCACAGATGTGGTTTATGATCCTCAAGAGGGTGACCCACCAAAACATGCTAGACAGCCACAAAGCACTCCTCCATATGCGCACATCTCAAAAAAACACCCCTATGACAGGGGAACTCCCAAGTTGATGGGAAGGTTCAGTGAGATGCTACAGTTGGACTGCAATTCACTAGTTCCAGTCTTTGTCCACAGTGCTGAATGCTAACAGTCAAAGCAAGAGGCAACTGTGCTCAGCTAGATAATCCTTTGATAGGCTGAAGTGGATTATTTTGTACTCACTTATAATTGTATATGGGAGTACTCACTGATTGAAAGAACAAATAACGTATTCATTGTAAAAAGAGCACCAAAAAAGGTGTCCAGCTTACCTATTATATCCTTCATGCGACTCATTGAGGAAGTATCTGAAACGTCTAATAATACGACAAAATCAAATGCAGGAGAGGGAAGAGGTACTTCTTTGGAAGTCGCAGGATCAATAGCCAATGTGGATTTTTGTGCTTTTTTTCTCTCCAGTTCTGTGAGGTTTCTATTGTAGCCTGTAAGAGCTTCTTCCAGAAGCTGTGCTTGATTTAAAGTCATTGGAAAACCATCTAGGATCCAGTGCTGATTCACAGGTATCTCGCTAAATTGAAACAGGACAACTCATGAATATTTTGTTAGACACAAATACTTTGGAAATTATATGATAAATCTTTCCTTTTTCTTTCAGTTCCACAATAACTTCCTATTGCATGAATTTCATTACTTTATAGCTAAAAGATTAGGTTTACTAATGTGCCACAATCACTCCTTTGCTTAAAATACTTTTGTGAATACTTGCTTCCCTCCAAATCTATTCCAGAAGCTTTAACACATTAAAATTAACTGGCCACACCTGTATTAGTCCCTTTTCATGCTGCTGATAAAGACGTACCCAAGACTGGGCAATTTACAAAGAAAGAGGTTTAATTGGACTCACAGTTCCACAAGGCTGGGGAGGCCTCACAATCATGGCAGGAGGCAAAGAGGAGCAAGTCACATGGATGGCAGCAGGCAAATCTAGAGCTTGTGCCGAGAAACTCCTGTTTTTAAAACCATCAGATCTTGTGAGACCCATTCACTATCACGAGAACAGCATGGGAAAGACCCGCCCCCATGATTCAGCCATCTCCCACCAGGTCCCTCCCACAACACGTGGGAATTACGGGAGCTACAATTCAAGATGAGATTTGGATGGGGATACAGTCAAACCATATCAACACCTTATTTCTCTATAACTTGTTGTCTCTTACAATTTTGCACCATTTACTTCAAACAAACTCATCTCCTCAATGTTATGTGAGTATGAATTGCATTTTCTATATTGTTCATAGACTGTTCCTCCTTTGCACCTCAGTTTCCTAATTTATACAATGGGGTAACATAACATACTTCATAAGGCAGTTGTGAGGATGAACTGAAATGATGCATTTTAAAAACTCGGCACAGAGCTTAGCACATACTGGATACTTATACTGCCAACCTGGAGAACTCTTCCTATCCCACCCAAGCCTGTGTAGAGTCATAGTATCCTGATCTCAGTTTCTCTGACTTTCACTTTGCCATGCAAATGGTTATATTTCTCTGCTTAACACAAATTCAAGTGAGTCTTTTAAAATCTCAGTTAGATTATACGATGCTGAAGTGCAATTGGGGTTTTGCACTCAGCACAGTGTCCTCTTTAGAGAATGGGTGTCGAATAATTGTTGTTTTAATTTGCAGCTGGAAAACAAGGTGAGAAAGGCATAAACTTAGACTGTGTTCTTCTAAGCCCTTAAATTATGCAAAATTGTGTTTTTGGCCTTTGGATTCAAACGTATAATTTCATTTATTTCTGTCGAAACTCATATTAAACAATGGAATCCCCTTTCCAAAGGTTTCTGAGTCTACTTTGGGGCCTGCATATGATCCTACCAATAATGTAGCAAGGAAGGAGGGGGAAAACAGAAGTTAAAGGAAATTTCATTACTTGTGCAAAGTCATGAAACTAAAAATCACCCAAATCCAATGATCTTTCCATAGTATCAAGCTATCTTCATGTCACTGTCTATTTCTCTCATTAAGTTATTAAGAGCAGGAAAAGACTTCAATTTGGTTTTATAACTTGTCTAGAGCTTGGTGAAGCATTCTGCATAGAACAAATTTGTTGATTCATTGGCCTAAGATGGGAAAGAGAATTTCCTTGAGTTCCTTCCTCCACCCACAGTCACAGGAGCCACTTCAGAGGAAGTGGGAGGTGAGGGCCACCCTTGTTCAGCTGTAGTGTGAGGACATGAGATGATGGGGAGTCAGGAGACCTGGACTTTGGCTGGGGCTACACCACAAGCCAGACATGTAACTGGAGTACCTCACTGAATTGTCATGTGCCTCCCTTCCTTATAGAAAAAATGACGGATTTAGACTGGATCAAAGATTTCACACTGATGACTGTCATCTGGAGGAGCCTTAGGGGCAATGAGGATAGTGGTAGTGGAAGGAGGGTAATGGAGTTCTGACGATGGGGTGTGGAGGTTTCAGTTCCACTGAAACTAAAGGGAAGAAATGCTTTATATCTGATGCTTTTCATATACATTATTCTTTGGAGCAGGAGCAAAGAATCCCATGGCTGAAACATGCTTTACATCACTTCTGAGAAATGTTACAACTGTTAGAGAGAGGTCTCTCCTAGCTCTGGGCAGCCCTGTGATCTGATTTCTAGACACATCATCATTGAGAAGCAACTTAAATCTTTAATGTCATCTTTTAAGAAAACACTAAGGGAAGTCCATTCCAGATGCAGAGTAGAACTCTCAGTCCTCCTTCCTCATCTCTCTTGGTCTCACTGGTTCCACATTCCTCATCTCACTACTCAGTTCTGCTTCCTCACCTACTTCAAGTTGTCCACAGCTCTTTCTCAGGGGGCTTTTTGACAGTTTTATCCAGCCTACTTGGCCTTCTCTCTTTATTACATTCATCAGCCAAGTCTCTATGGCTTCTTTTTTCCCCGTGGTCTGTGACCACACAATTGAGTGTTTCCCTTGGCTTTTCCAATTACTGAATTTCTCCTTGAATTCCCCCCAGGTAATAGAACCTGACTTTATTCATATCTGGGTAAAAGAAGTCAAGCTTGGTATGGGAGAAGAAGTGGAATATAGGCATGTAAATCACAAAATATATCTATCTTTTCATTGCTATATATTTTCTTATACAGATGAGTGAAACTTATGAGATATTAAAACAAAAAAATTTCTGTATTATTCTGGATACATCTTTGTGTGATAAAGAATATATTAAATAGATAAGAGGAAGAAAAATACAATACATACTTAATAGCATTTACCATGATGTCAACAAGCAGCACGTCAGGAATGCTCTTTCCTTTCTTCAGCAACTGTTCTGATTTTGCACCAAGTTGAGCACGCGTAGTGAGCTGGGAAAATAAACAAGAAATGACAGAAGATGGCTAATTTAAAAGTCAAATTCGAAATTTTTGGAGGAAAAGTCAATTAAACGACCATGCTTTCTGATGACGACACTGATCATGTGGCACAGTTGGGGAGTCAGGGAAGCATTTCAGGAAAATGTGTGCACAGAATTTGAGGCTCTTCCTTCGAGGCTCCCTCCCTTCCAAGATTGTACTCTTCAATTGCAGCTGCTCTTGCATCCCCAAACTTAATTCTGTAATACCTTAAATCAGAAAGATTGAGCTCTCTGCTTGGGCTCTAGCCACTCATGCCATGCAGACAGGGGCATGCCCTCTGGGGAAAACCCATATAAACATGGCCCTTGCCCAGTGAAGTTCTCATCTTTCCATGGTCAAATTCCACAGATTTTCTGCCTGTTGTTTGCTGCTTGCTTGTTTGCTGTCTTCTTTTAGCCCTCAAATAATTATCTTTTCTATTTTACCTAGTGTTTATACTTGTTATTTGTAGGTTAGTCCAATACAAGCTACTCAATATCACTGAAACAGGAACTTACTTAGAGTCTATTCTTAGCTCAGCTGCCAGAGTGAGAATGTTATGTCAAATGGTATGGCTCTATTCCAAGTCCTGTTAAAATTCTCCCTTTTACTCCAAATGTCCTAATGATTGCCTGAGGGCCTGACTGACCTGATTCTTTTCCTTTCTCACCCATGTCTCTAACCTCATCCCTTACTAAATACTCTCTGGCCCAGCTGGCCAGGCACTTTCCTGCCTCACTATCCTCACAGTCTGGAACACTTCCCCCGATCCAGTGGGCTGGTTCTGTCACCTCTTTCAATCTACTTAAGGCTCCCTTTCCCAAGGAGGCCTGCCCGATGTCATAAGGTGACCAGCTGTGCCTCTTTCACTGCCCTTGGCCTGTGCTCCTGCTCCCCTTGCTCCACTCTTTGTTTCCTTTTCTTATGACGCTCATCATCATCTTCAATTTCATACTTATCTCTATGTTCATAGTTTATTATGTCTCTCTCCATTAGAGAGACATAAACACCACAAGGGCAGGGAATCCTGTCATTTGTATTCACTGATATATCCAAGGTATTAAAACACTGTACAAAACAACATATGCTCTTTGAATTGAATTGAATATGGAATTTGTAAGATTTTAAAGTCAATAAAGGTAAATATAAAACATACTTATCCTTTCTGCTAATTCATATTTCAAATTCACAGAGTAAATAAGTCTCCTTTTCCTGCTTTTTCTGAACCCATTTCTCTCCCATTGCTCATCTTGTTTACAGTTTGGTGTATATCCTTCCAAAACTTTTTCTATCTTTAAGCAGTTTTGAAACCTAAAATATTATAAAACTGTTTTTTCATGATAAGATGCATAATAAAAAAATCAAATGTAATACAAACAATAAAATTTCACTTGATTTAATCTGGTCATTTTATTTGATGACTGATTAGTTTCCATTAGCAGAAATAGTGAGTGAACTGTTGTAAACATTTTTTCAGGCATTAATAAAAAAAATTCTGTAGAGTCACTAACAAGAGTAAAGATAAATTCTGGAAAAAATATTTAAAGGTAAAGAGGGTATGAGTGAAATAAAAGTCATAAATTAAATGGTAAAGATGAAATGAATTTGGCCTCAGTCTAAAATTTTTAAAAGCACATATTTATTACCCTGGCAAAAGTGAAGAGTAATTTCCACTGCTTTCAATATGAATATTGAGAATACAAAGAATGCTAAGTAAAGTCAGATGACCCAGTATTATACCATCAAATTTACTTTGAAACCAAAGAAGAACACATTGCCATCGCCATTAATCATGACATGTTTTATTATGCTAGTAGCTAAAATTAGATCATAATACTTACGTTTAAGAAACTATCACTGGATTTGATTTCTTCAGCTTTTGGTGTTTTATCAGCATTAGCACCTAGCAATAGGAAAAGCGGTAAAAACAAATTTCTGGTATTTACACCTAACAACCACAGCAGTATTTGACCATCTATGGTTTTGGACATAAGGGTTATCAGATCCAGCTATGCCTGAGATACTCAGAGGAAGGAAGTAATAGAATCACCACAGCATAGCTTTTACCTTCACTCACACCATTAAGATCCTAGCCACTATGTGTCTTGGTGGTTCCCATCCCTCTCTATCTCCCTCCCTTCCTCCCTCCCTTCCTGCATTATCTGAGCTCATAAAAATATCATTAGGAATACTTTAACACAGTCGGGGGTCGCTTTTCAGAAGACAGTCAAGTTTTTCAAAAAAATGTTAAAATGTTATTTTTTTACACTTTTATTTTCCTGGATTACCAAGTTATAGATAAACATCTTAAAAGCAGATGACTCTATAAGTCAGAGGTGTTTTAACTTAAATTCTATGAAAAAAAGAGAAGTTTTAACAGTGTGTTTATAATTACTTAGACTAATGTATAATAAAATATGTAATAAAATACTATAATAGTTTTAAAAAATCAACTAAAATTATCTCTTAAGAAACAGATAACAGGAATAAGGGACAGATAGCATCTTCTTAAGAAAGGAAAGTCCAACCTCTCTGGAGTGTTGTATGCTCATAGTAAACCTGGACATTGTTCAATGGTAATGGCAATAATAATGATAGCACAGGAGGAGTTCGCTTCATGCTAGAATATGAGGAAGCTATTTAATATGGCAAAGCCTTCACTAGCACATACAGGAAAAAATATTTAATACTTAAAATTGTTTTCCTTCAATAGTTCTACAAAGGAGCTGAAGGACTGCAGCCCAGATCCCAAGGAAGATAACTTTTTGTTATGTTTGGGAAACTTAATTGTATTGGCAGTGCCCAAGGCTGAGAATAAACTTAGGAACCACTGTGCATATAGTTTAAAAAGACCAGCCCCTACAGCCTTCTGCAATACAATAAACAAAGCAGGAGTAGTTTGTAGAAAGCCCCAATTGTACTCATACACACAGTCTTACACACAGGTGAGAACAAGAAAAGACTATCTGTCCCCTTGCACAGACAGGAAGGAGGAGGATGATTTATCCTGGCTTCTTTCATAATAGCAGCAAAACTAATTAACCATTTGAAGGAGACTCAAAAGATTTTCTTGTAATTTTCATCTCATACCCAGGTGTAGGAAAGAGTGATCTTGCTCCCTCTGTCAAATGGCCATATGTAGACAACTATATAAAACTCCCTTTGGTTCCTATTTATTTCCCTGAAAGCACGTTCGTGCTCACATATATGTGTTCTCATTGTTTCTCTCTCTAATGTAAATAATAGATGATTTGTTTTGAGATCTTAGTATCGTTTCACCTTCTGTTTCTGGTAATCCTTCATTTGAAACTGGACCAGCTGAAAATACATTTTGTGGATCCTTTGGAGAGAAAACAAACACAAGGAGGGATTTTACCATTGCTATATTTTAATAATTCTCCTAATTTTATATCTATGAGTAAAGGTTTGAGAACAAATACTTTTTATCTATAACATTAATGATTTTAAAGGAGATTAAAGTTTCAGTCCTAAATTCTTATTTCCAGAAACAAACAAGATTGGATAATTGCACTTATAGAAATACACAGTAACCTGTGATGTAATCTGTCTTTTGAACGATCTTCAATTACTATGTAAAATATGCCAATTACTATTTTGAAAAGATAGTGGAACCTGAGGAAAGGGTAGAGTTTACGGAAAACCATCTTGAACAATCCTAGAGATGTCAGTCATAGCCATAGGGTAATTTTTTAAAAATGTACATTATCTATTACTTTATTGATTAAAATATAAAGATATTACAACATGGAAGAAGAAATAGCCCACCATGAAGAAAACTTCTCCCAGTTATTTTCAAAATTAATTGTTAAATGATATTTATTTTTGCAGGCTATGCAAATGATCTGGATCAGATTGTCAGCTAATTCATTCAGTTGCAGAGGCAGCATAAGGTAGAGAGAGGAAAGAGTAGTGGACTTAAAATCTGGAACCTTAATCATAGAGAAGCCATTGACAAGCCTTCTGACTCCAAGCAAACCAATTCATGCTTAGGGTCTTTACTGTCTGCTCTGTAGAATGAGAGAGCTGGACTACATCAAGGATTCTGAAGGTGGGGCTACATTTTTCTATTCACCCCTCCACCCCAGGAATCATCATGCAATAATGAAATGAAATGCAATATTGATGGGAATATGATACAGGTAAACCTTTCAGAGAGCCATCCCCCAATTGAGATCTACTAATATAGATCAGGTGTCAGCATACTACAGCTCATAGACCACAAAGGCCTGCCAACAGTTTTCATACAGTTTCTGAACACCACTTCAGCAGTTGACCACTGTGAGACTGGAGTCCTCCTCTACCTCTATACCTGCTGGGATTCTACTTCAGCAGGTGACCACTGTGAGACTGGAGACAGAGACTGGAGTCCTCCTCTACCTCTGTACCTGCTGGGATTCTACATCTGCCTCAACCACTGCCCAGGGCCAGCATTGGTCTCTGACAATACTCTGATGTTGGCAACTGCCAGAAGCTGGGTAGGAGGATCTCCGTGCAGGAGTTGGTGACTTCTTGAGTTCCCGCAAAAGAATTATATGCCACCCTCCCAACCTCCACAATTCAATCACTTCACCTATCCCCACTTACCAGCTAGTGGCTCTTTCATCGGGAGAATGGCTCCAGCTGACAGCTACTAGACCCAGAGGGGGCCCATCACACAAGATGGTCTACCCAGACAAACTGGTGGGAAGCAGGAGTTTTCTCTCTTGTTATACAAGTACCCACATAATATCCTCGATTTTACCTCTTGGCCTAAAATTTATCCTAAATATTTAACTTAAATATTTATTCTCTAGACTTTTGAAGAACCTAAAATTTTAATCTCTGGCTTTGTACAGAAGAAACTTCTGGTCTAGAAGATCTTTTAAATTCCATCCAGCTCCAAATCTCTAATGTGCTAGGTGCAGAAGAGAAAACTAGACTCACACTTGCCTGGCTTTCTTTAATCTCCTCTTGCAGAACTGGTAGAGCATCTTCTTCATCTTTTTTCTGAATTGGTAGAATCTCACTGACTTTTTCATTGTCATGAAATGCTTGGATAGCTTCTTGGACAAGAGTGTCAATAGAAAGTATCCGCATAGGAAAGTCTAAAGTACAAAATATAATCTTATAAATAGCTTTTCATTTGGGAAATGGAAATTGTCTTTATGTGCTGGTTTTGCCCTATAACACTGTCTTTCAGGCCCACTAGAACTGTCTTTTGGATCAAGCTTATTTTTTGTTTGATTTGTTTTGTTTTGTTTGAGACAGAGTCTCGCTCTGTGGCCCAGGCTGGAGTGCAGTGGCGTCATCTCGGCTCACTGCAATCTCCGTCTCCCGGGTTCAATCAATTCTACTGCCTCAGCCTCCTGAGTAGCTGGGATTACAGGTGCACGCCACCACACCCGGCTAAATTTTGTATTTTTAGTAGAGATGGGGTTTCACCATGTTGGACAGGTTGGTCTCAAACTCTTGACCTCAGATGATCCACCCATCTCGGCCTCCCAAAGTGCAGGGATTACAAGCATGGGCCACCGCACCCAGGTGGATCAAGCTTCTTTTTAAAAAATGTGATAAGGTCTGGTGCAGTGGCTCATGCTTGTAATCCCAGCATTTTGCGGGGCCAAGGTGGGTAGATCATGAGATCAGGAGATTGAGACCATCCTGGCCAACATGGTGAAACCCCGTCTCTACTAAAAATACAAAAATTAGCTGGGTGTGGTGGCACGAAAAAATAAATCCGTATCAAAATAAATAAATAAAAATAAAATAGATAAAAATTGTGATAAAATTCAAATAACATAAAGTTAAGCACCTCCATCATTTAAAGGATACATTTCAGTAGCACTTAGATATTCACAATGTGTGCAACCATCACCATTATTTTGATCCTGAAATTTTTAATCACCCTGAAAGGAAATCCCAAATCAATTGAGCTATCACTCTCATTCCCCTACCCCTGCCTCTCACGTCCAATAATTCACTTCTTTCTCTATGGATTTGCCTATTTTGGATATTTCATACAAGTGGGCTCATACATTATGTGACCTTTTGTGTCTGGCTTTTTTCACTTAGCATAATGTGGTCAAGGATCATCCATGTTGTAGCATGTATCAATATTTCACTCATTTTTATGGCTGAATAATCATAGCCTGGAAAATTATAAAATTTTTGATGATAGAGATTTCTCAACATATCAGCAATGCTTCTTGTATGGTTTTTTTTAATAGACATAGACATTTGCAGCTACAGTCAGTGTAAATAGGACGTAATGGCAGGCAGAGCAGGAGAAGAAATTCTACCTTTTTGTAGAGACCTTAAAATGGTAGTTTTTCCACTTAATGTTTTCCCCAGTAAGCATCCTTTAACAGCAAATGAAGGTAATTCAGGTGTTGTTGATTCTGCTCGAGGAGGAAGAGATTTTTCAACTAGCCTGTGAAGAATATGACCCAGTATGCAATTGTTGGAGGGTGGTAAATTGTCAACCATTTCTTCTGGTAAGGCCCACTCTCCAACCATGTTCTGTAAAAATAACGATCAAATAAACAGAAATATTCTGAAAAATGGAAGTTAGGTATATGAAATATTTAAAAGTTAAAAGTAAATCCAAATCATAGCCAACAAAAGCCAATCAATACTTTAATTATATTATAAAAATGAATAATAACATTAAAAATAGTTTCATAGTAGAGGGCAGAATAATGCTTCCTACATAAAAGCAAAAAAACAAAAAATAAAAAAGCTTATGAAAGTGAGCATATAAATTGAGACATTTTGTAATCTAGGTTGAACATTAAGACATTTAAATTGATGTTATCACCAGTAAGCAGATAAAAGACAGTAATCATTTCTCTGCTATCTTATGCAAGTATTAACTTTATTTTATACTATTTTAAAGTAATAAAGATAAAAGAGAATTTTCATGCTCAATATCTCTTAAGTCTACTGTGTTTAACTCCCACTTTATACAGGTCTCTTGATGAAATGATCAAATGATTAGATGGAGAGAAAAAACACTGTACAGATCACATTCTCTGACTTCCATGTAATATAATTAGAAGTTGATTTCAGAAACACAGAAAAAAATAAGTATTTAAAATGAAAAGCATTATTTAAAAATGATTCTTGTATGAAAGAGGAAATTGAGACTATAAAGTCTAAAAGGAACATTAAAACAACAGATTTATTAAAAATATGGGGTGGGATCAAACTGTACACACAGGAAAATACCCCTTAGCCTAAAATGCCTTGATATAGGTGTGGTGTTCAATAAATCAGTAGAGTGACTAGAGTAAATAATATTCTATTGAATATTTCAAAATAGCCAGTAGAGAACCATTCAAATGTTCCTAGCATAAAGAAAAGATAAATGTTTAATATGACAGATATCTCAATTACCCTGATTTGATTATTACATATTTTATAAATGCATCAATGCATGTGTTTATTATGTATCAATAAAAAAATTAAAAAGAAGGAAAATAAAGTAGACATTAAAATCAGGAATAAAAGTAATTTTAAAATAATCAAACTAGAAAGAAGAAACTTATAAAAATAAAAATGGAAATTAATAAATTACAGAGTTAAACTATCCAGATATTCTTTATTGATAAAATTCTAAAACTTATCCTTATTAATAATGACAATGAAATTTCTACTACTTTGACACAAAAGTGAAGAATAGCAAGTATCAATGTTGTAACATAATAGGAAAAAAGGTAACAGCAGACACATGTACCCTCTGTTCATCATAGCACTATTCACAATAGCAAAAACATTGAATTAACCGAAGTACCCATGAAGAGTGGAATGGATAAAGAAAATATGGTATATGTACACCATGGAATAGTGCACAGTCATAAAAAAGAATGATGTCATGTCCTTTGCAGCAATATGGGTGCAGCTGGAGGCCATTATCTTAAGCAAACTAATGCAGAAGCAGAAAATCAATACTGCATGTTCTCACTTATAAGTGGGAGCTAAACACTGAGTACACATGGACATAACGATGAGAACAGTGAATATTGGGGACTACTAGAGGGAGGAGACGCGGAGAGTGGCAAGGGCTAAAAAACTACCTACTGGGAACTATGCTCATTAGCTGGGTGACAGGTTCAGTCATACCCCAAAGCTAGCATCATGCAATATACTTCTGTAACAATCTGTAACAAATGTTACAGAAGTATTTTGCATGGTATAATTTTAATAAAAGTAGGAAGCGGGAAGAAAAAGAAGATGTTAGGTACAACTATACTATAGTAAATTTGGATTTATAACTGTATGGTAATAAATGATATTCTAAGAAAGTGCAAATGATTAAAATTAAATAAAATCTTTGAAAAAATAAAAACCATGATATAAATGAAAAAGATGTCATAGAACTATACTTATGAAAATTGAAGACACTAATGGTTTACAGAAAAATTTTCTTTCTTTAACTGAACAGAAATTTAAATGTTTAAAAGTCTTCTAGAGTACAGAAGAAGATAGAAAGCTTTCCTGTTTATTTGGCAAGACTAATATAACCCTTATACAGAAAATGTATCAAAGATAATTGACAAAAACAACATCCCAAAAGAAAACTACAAGCCAATCTCCCTTGGAAATATTTGGCACAAATCATGCATCAACATTAAAGTCAACATAATATTAACAGACAATAAAGATACTAATTGACATTGACTGCATACTACGTAGCATATACTGTTGTTTTCATGCATTATGTCAAACGATTCTCACACAACTCTTACACATGTAGTATTATTATTATCTTCCCGATTTATGGAAGAAAAATCTGAGTATTGCAAAAACTAAGTTATTTTTCCATGGTCACAATAAAGAGTAATGGCAAAACCTAGATTGGAACCCAGGCAGTCAGATCCCAGAACATGTACTCATATCCAGTATATGATGTTGACTTTATCCCACCATGACTGAATAAGAATTATTTCATGAATCCAAGGAAGGTTAAATACTAGAAAGCCTATGTACTATATTCATTAATAGGTTAAAATAAAAAAATAAAAGCATATGATCATTCTGACAAAGAAAGAACTGATACAACTCAAAATTCATTTCTGATTTTAAAAATACAAGAAAAATAAACAAAATAAAACCATATCTTAGTAAGTTATGAATTGAAGATACCTTTCCTAACACTTTCTGGACCAATGGTAAACCAAAATAAACTACACATTTTTCCATTAAAGGCAAGAAGAAGAAAAAGTTGCTCATCATGAGTACTATTAGTCACATTATTTGGGAAGTTCTAGCTAGTGCAACAAAATAAGAAAAAGAAAGAAGCAGCACTGTCTCTAGGAGTAATGGTGGCTGCTGAAGAGCAGAGTTCCTTGTGCAGAGGTGGCAGCTATAACCTGAACTGCTGCTAGTGCTCTGGGGTGGTGGTGGCAGTGATAGTTTTCTTGTCAGACTTTGCTATGATGGTTCCAGTCATTTTCTTTGGAAGTTTAACCTTGAGCCTACTCTTGAGTCCACCTACGGATTCTTTGACCCACCCACCATATTTTGAGTATTTTCTTTTCCTGCTTATTCAACAAGGGTCCTTTTGTTTTTGCCTGAAAATTTTTTGCTTGCAAGCTTGCAATTTTTTTTTGCTTGCAAAAGCTGACAAAATCAATGGAATTAACAAAAAATTTATAGAGTCTATATATAGAAAGCTTCAAAATTTGACTATTAAGAAAAATGACTTGAACAGAGGGTGAGATAAAAAGGTTCAAAATTATAAACCACTTAATTCTCCCCCAAATTAATCTAACTTAATGTTTAGTGACAACAAAAGTGCTGGTGTTATTTCCCCCTAGTCATAGCTCAAAAGTTGATATGAAAAATGGTTTGAAAGTTAAAATGGGCCGGGCGTGGTGGCTTACGCCTGTAATCCCAGCACTTTGGGAGGCTGAGGTGGGCAGATCATGAGGTCAAGAGTTTGAAACCAGCCTGAACAACACGGTGAAACCCCGTCTCTACAAAAAATACAAAAATTTGCGCCACTGCACTCCAGCCTGGGTGACAGAGCTAGACTCCATCTCAAAACAAAAGTTAAAGTGCAAGAAGATATATAATGGGCAAAAAAAAAAAAATCCATTAAAAATACTTAAAAAGGAAAGTAATGGGAGTGTTGCCTTATAAGTTATGAAAGCGCTTTTAAAAAATATGGTAATGAAAAGAATGAGTTACAAAAATTCAGAATATTCAGTGTACAAAAATATAGATTCCAGAAACAGATCTAATTATATGTAAAAGTTTAGTATGTAATAAGGTTTATACTTCACATTAGCAGAGAAAGATTATTTTACAACTGGTATTTGAATAACTATTTATACATTTGGAAAAAATAATGTTAGATATCCTTATACTTTCATAAAAATAAATTGACACCAGAAGAATGAACGACGTAACCAAGAACTCTAATAGCATCAAAATTTGGGTGAACACTGATATGCTCCACGATTGTTTCTCCAAGCACAACACCAAAGCTGAAAACCATAAAGGAAAAAGTTGGTAGTTTGATTATACGCTACAAAAATAAAATCTTCTGCACATTCTCAAACACACACACACAAACACACGTAACTCACACACTTCAAAAACAAAAAACAAAAGCAAAATATCTGCAATATATGTATGTGTATATACATATATATTTGACAACAGGTTAAGAATTTTAGTACATAAAATAGATATTCAGAAAAAGAAAAATAAAAGAAAAATGGTAGAAAGGATATAAATGGGCAATTTTGACAGTAGAACAAAACGGCCAATGAGTTTGTAAAGAAATGTTCAAATTCATAGTAATAAAAGATATCCAGATAAAGTTATTATGTATCATATTTTGCCTAAAACCAAAAGATTGAGTCATACTTCTCATTCACTACTGTTAAGAGGGTAAATTAGTATACTGATTTATTGTATTTTCAAAAGTATCAAAAATTGCTGCAATAGTTCTGTCATAACAATAAAAATAATTAAGACATACAAGTCAGAGAAGAATTAAGATTTTTTATTTACATATACATATAGGTAAAATGGTATTTTTCTGTAGTCACTTGAGGATCTTTAAAAATTATCTTCAGTGCACATAAAATATATTTAGTAACATGATTATGTGATCATTTCATTATCTAGATATTATTTCATTTGCACTCTATCAAAGAGAGAATAGAAATACATGTAATTTATATCTTAAGATTATTTGGAATTAGTACTTATAACCTATATATTAAACTATCAAACTTCAAAAAACCCCAAATATTGTTTCAGCAGTGGAGAGATGTCAAATCATAGTGGAATATTGAAAATTAGAAATTCCAAGATATATTAGTATTTTTTTAATCATGTAAGTCTCCTCAAAATTGTATCTCAGATGATCAGTTCTATTAGCACTTCTATTATATCACTGCCCTTAATCATCTAAATGTAAGTCTTTTCAGTCCAAAGATCAGGGATAGAGAAACATAAGCAATGTCCATTTGGGGAGATAAAGGAGCTGCCTCATCAACATAGGT